GCTTAGTCGGCATAGTGGGCTCTGCGGGGGGTGCAGTGTTGAGGTCAGGTGGTCGTGCTGAAAGCCCACACAGGCCCATAGCCCTGGTTGTTCACCACCATCCGGTACATTCTTTGGATTCTAATTTCTGCCGGAAACCACGAACTGGATCCAAAATTGACGGTTTATATGAGACTGTCCACATGGATAGGCACCCTTCAATAAAATAACTATACGAAATGCAATGCATTGCATTGCTAAGCCATCATAACGCTACCAAGTGGCTCATTTGACAAGATTATTCATGTGCTCTCTTTAGTCAGCACAAATAAAGGACAGAGAATGAGAAGCTACCACTCGACTGGTCGACCTCGCGCCCCTGGGCCCTGATTAGTGATGGTCTTTTTCAGAGTATCGATATCACACCGTGGTCTGTGGGCCTAATAATGCTGCTTCTAGCAAACAGCACATAGTTGTAGCGGTAATTAGGCACTAGTTAAAGGTAGCAATAATATATAACGACGACGGAGTTAAACATTTGTTTATGGGATGCCTTATCTACATGTTGTGGTCAATTGGTCATCATATCATATTCGAGTATGTAATAACCTGCCGGGCATGCGGTTGCGGCATGTGTGCGCCCTCCTGCAGTTGATTCCGACCGTCCGCGCGCACCGCATCCGGGCGGCGCAGCTAGCCCTTCATCGCCTGAGCTCGCGCGGCCGTGGTGGACTGGTCGTTCGTGACTGGTGCTGTTGCCTCCGCGCGTGTCCACTTCCACTTGGCTGTTGGCTCCGCCCGCGCGCATGCATGTCGCACACCTGCCTGCGTGCAGGCCCATGCATGCATGCATGGCCCCCTGCCCGGTGGCCACGCTGTCCACCACGGACCACCAGGGCGGCCACACACATTCACCACCCGTGCGAACGTGTCCGTGTCCGGTGGTAATACGGGACGGGACGGGAGCGAGCAAGCTTGTAAAAAAAAAACATATTAGTAACAAGACGCATTACGCGAGCGACCTTGTGGGTCCGCTCCCCTGCCACGTCATTATATTGGATACGGTCTTCCTAGTAGTAGTTAATAATATGTACGTACGTACACGTACTTGCCAGCCCAGGCAATATGTACTACACTGACCTCACTTTCGTTGAACAACAAGTGGCATGCACGTAGGTGCCAACCGGCGGTCTTACACGGTTACCGACTTACCGTGAGGTGAGGATGATCTCGTCGCACACTAAACACAGTAAACAAGACCATATTAATGCAAAACACGTACATGACTGGTATACTCGCGTGCCGCACGTACGTGACACGTCTTTCGATCTGTACGTGCATCTCAGATTATTGGTTGCACGAGCCTGCAGTGCCACGCGGCTCCGTTATGAAACGAAACCAGAGCGTCGCGTGTCTGACCTCGTGAAAGCTCTAGTGGTTTTTTTTCTTCCTTTTCTTATCAGGGCAGTAGCTTCATCGACGGAGGATATGAAGATAGCTAGCTGCTAGCATTTGACCTTGACGACACCTCGGTAGCCACATACGTATAGAAGACGTATACAACTACGCTAACACAGCCACGTTGCCCTTCTCTCCCGTGGCAAGAAACCAGAAGGAGCTGTACGGTAGCGGTACCGTTTGGCTTGTTCACCAACTTTAACGTCTGACGGTTATTCAGCAAAGTGGCATGTATGGCCCCGAAGCCCCGGACGATCGAGCAACTCTAACGTCCGACAGTTCAGCAGGGAGTACGTGTTGGCGTGTTGCATTTCACGATGAAATAAATACTCCTATAATAAAGCAAGCAGGATATAACCAAAAGAAAACCAGTCATCATTTTTTTTTATAAACCGGAGTACCTAAAAGCAGCAGAGAAAGGAAAATAACGGCCACAAAGTTTCTTTTTCAGGTTTTCATCACTGCCTTGCCACGTCTCCCCTTCCATCGCTGTCCTGTGTCCTCACCGGCCACGGCCACATTCCACAACCCACTGCCAGACTGCCACGGCAAGCACACACAACAAACACCTCCTGCATATTTAACCCGCATCTGCATTGTTCTTCTCTGAGCTGCAGCTCGCCACCGTACCTCGCACCAGTCACCACCATCCACCGCCGCTCATCGAGCAACGCCAGCTTCTCCCTTTTCCCATCACCCACCGCCCGCTCCCAGTCCCGGGTCACTGTACGTCGTGCACCGCACCGCCGGTGCATGCACGCGCACACATGGCGGAGCGCCTGCTCCAGGCGCACCAGGTGTCGGACCTCTGCATCGGCAAGCCGGCGCTGAGGTGGCTGCCGCCGCAGTCCACGATCGCCGACCTGGAGGCCGGAGGGGGCCGTGAAGACGCGGCCGTCGCGGTGTGGGACGGTAACGAGGGGTCCGACGTGGCCGGCAGGGTGTGCATGGCCGACGCGTTGCTCTTCCTCTGCGCTGACGACGATGACCTGGCGTCCCCGGCCGCCGCGCTCCAGGCCACGCTCTCCGACCTGCTCGCCGCCGGTGCGCTACAGGCGGTCCGACACATCGACCCGGACGCGAGGTCGCCTGCCGCACTTGCACGTGTGCATCAAATAAATTTTCCGGACCGAATCGAGTGTTTTGGTGATCTGATGATGGGGTCGGTCGTTTGGTGTCGGCAGCGTGCTGGAGGCGGTGGACGCGTTCCTGGGCGGCGCGCACACGCTCGCCGTGCCGATCAGGGAGAGGTGGCACGCCGCCGCCGACCGCGGCAAGCTGTGCTGGCTCACGGTGGAGGACGTGGTGCGCTTCCTCCTGAGCTCCGTCGGCGTATTCTCCGCCACGGCCTCGCGGTCCGTCACCGAGCTCGGCGCCGTCCGCCCCGCCGCGCTCGCCGTCGCCGCCGGCGACAGCGCGCTCTCCGCCGTGCCGCTGCTCCGCACCGCGCTGGCGTCCCACGCCTCGGTAGCAGTCGTCGCCGACACCGGCACCGGCACCGGCTCCCCCGCCCGCCGCCTCGTCGGCGAGATCTCGCCGTCCGCGCTCCGCTCCGGCGGCGTCGCGTCCGTGGCGGCCATCGCGGCGCTCTCGGCTGGCCAGCTCGTGTCGTTCTTGGACTGGGGCGGCGCCCCGCCCGCGGACACGCTCCACGCCGTCCGTTCCCGCCTCCGTCGCTGCAACCTCCTCGGAATGCTCGACTTGCTCTATGGTGGTACCACCGACGCGTCGTCGTCGTCGTCGTCTTCCTCCTCTGCTTCGTCGTCATCCTCCTCGTCGTCCGACGAGGACGAGGACATCGTCGACGCCGACGGGAGGAAGCTGATTATAGCATCGCCGCACAGGCACGGCAGCTCGTTCTTGGGGAGGCGACGGGCAGAGGAGGCAACCGTGTGCCACAGGGGAAGCTCGCTGGTGGCGGTGATGGTGCAGGCCATGGTGCACCGAGCGACGCACGTGTGGGTGGTGGAGGAGCAAGAGCTGGTGGGCGTGGTCGGCCTGCTCGACGTGCTGCGTGTGCTCAGGCACCACCTGGTTGCTGGAAGTGGATGTGGAATGCATCCTGATCTTGATTGATCCCATAGCATAGTATAAACCGATCAAATCAAATAATTTCCATTGGTAAATGTGGTAAATGAATGATTCAACCTTATATCAATCTCTCTAAATTTATATCTATATATATCTATACATACATAATATTTGCTCGTGCCTCTTACTCGGCGAGGATGTGCCATTAGGATGAGGAGCGCGTATATTCCTGACACGGTAGAGGTGGGTTGGCGTGCATGTGATATATGGGCCGCGAAGCAGACTTTTTCCTTACTTCTCATGTCTAGCTTTAGCCCCTGCGGCCCAATCAATCTACTTTTTTTCATTTCATGTTTCTCCTGTCTAGATTTAACCCATACAATCTACTATTTGGATTCTACGAGCTTTTTTCTTTTTTTCTCTTTTGGAAAACGGGTATGTGGGAGTTGAAACAGACGGAGGATGGTTTCCTTCTATATGGATGTAGAATCAGTACATACAAATTTGGTGGTCTTATGCTCCATAAAATTCTGTATGTGATTACTTGTTTCAATCTATACAGAAAAATTGGTATGTAAAATAGAAATTCAAAGTTATCTTGCAGATATATATGTTTGTTTTCAGTTATAGTTGTCATTAATACCCCGAAGAAACAACGAGATAAGATAAACAAATTAAAATGTAATATAAAGTTATGTAAAACTGTGCATCAACTTCACGCGCCAGTTAAAAACAAGTTATATGAAAATAGAATTTCAAAAACCTTGAACAAATCTAACTTTCTAGTTATTTATTGCAAACATTTATATCTCAAATTGAGAACCTTACAAATTATATAGTCCAGAACTCCCTTAATATCTACTTTCAGATTACATATAAAAAAATTTGGAACTGGTATTCAGAAACTTCCAAAATTATATATTCAGAAAAACTTCCTACAAGCTACAATAATATCTATCAAGCTGCATACCTGAATTTTTATATATGGAAATTCAAAACTTTCAAATTATATACTTAATGACTTTGTGCATATCTAGCTTTCAAATTATATACTTTAAAACCCTTTGCACATCAGATTTGAAAACTTTTAAATTTTAAAACCCTTTCCTACATGTTGAATGTTGTGCTTACCATTCGCTGGAGCCCCTCGCTCCTTTCGAATCTCGACTCGACGGCCCTCACAGCCTGCTGGAATATGTCCCCTCCGCCTCCACATCGACGGTGAAATCATGGCTGCGGCGGCGTCGACGGAGCTTCCGCCTCCACATCAAAGAAGAGAAGCACCCGTTGAGCGGAGAGAAAGGAGAAAGAAAACAAGTGCCTGATTCAGAAATCAGAAGCGAGCGCGACAGCAAACGGGACCATAAACGGAAAGTACCTGACGGAGAGGGAAACGGAAGGAAAAAACAGGAGTGCGCGTCGCTAGCGCCCGTGGCGCACGCTACGACAAGGATAAAGCCCTGGGTTCCGTTCCGTGCTTCCCTGACCCTCTCATTCCTCTTCTCCCCTCCCCGATCCCCCTTATCGCCACCATGCTGTCACTCTCCCACCCCCACCCCGCCGCGTCCACCACCGCGCCCCGCGCCGTCGCCGCCGCTACTCCCGTGTGGCGCCGCCGTCGCGCCAGCCACATCGCCGCGAGCGCCATCCTGCTTCCGGGAGGCGGCAGCGCCGGCGGCGGGGGCGGGCCGGGCGACCGGAGGCTCCCCTTCACGCCGCCCCCGATGGCGCCGCCGGGCCAGCTCTACCAGCCGTTCCACCCGCCGCCGTCCCCTCTGCCGCCCAGCCTCCGCAACCTCGACCTCACCCAGCGCCTCCAGATCCTCCGCGACAGGATGGGCCTGTGGCACGAGTACGCGCCCCTCATCTCCTCGCTCTCCCGGGACGGCTTCAACCCGTCCTCCATCCAGGAGGCCACGGGCATCTCGGGCGTCGAGCAGAACTGCCTCGTCGTCGCGTCCCAGGTCCGCGACTCGCTCCTCGACGACAAGGTCGCCGCGTTCCCGCCCGATCTGCTCCCGTACTTCGACTCCTACGGCGGGCCCGACCTCCTGTACGAGCTCCGCTTCCTGAACGCGCGCCAGCGCGCCGACGCCGCCAGGCACGCCATCGACTACAGGCTCGAGCCCAAGGGCGTGCGGGAGCTGGCTCGCGCCATGAAGAGCTTCCCGCGCTGGCGCGGGGAGGAAGGCTGGGAGGCCTTCGGGAGGGACTCCCCCGCCGACTGCCTCGCCTACGCGCGGTTCCGCCAGTCGCGGGAGGCCATCGACGTGGAGGACCGCATCGCGGAGCTGGAGCGCGCGCTGCAGGTGGTGGAGACCGAGTCCGGCAGGGCGCGCGTGGAGCTCGAGCTGGAGCGCGCCAGGAAGAAGGCGGCCGGGGAGGTGGAGGGGGAGGAGGAGGACCCTGCCGCCTCGCGGCCCGCCGTCACGGTGGTGCGGCTCCAGTACGGCGAGGTCGCCGAGGCGACCACCGTCTTCATGCTGCCGGTGCTCAGGGAGACGGACGGCGTCGCGGCCATGGAGTCGGCGCCCAGGCGGACCAAGACGGACGTGGACCTTGGCATTGTGGAGTTAGACAAGGCGTGGGCGCGGTGGGCTGTGGTGCCCGGGTGGGGCCCCGTGGCCGAGGCAGCGGACGACGCCGTCGTCATCGAGCTGGCCGACGGCCGGAGGCTGCCGTGGCGGACGGCCGATGAGGAGCCAGTGCTGGTCATTGCCAACCGGAGCAAGAAGGAGGTCGTGGAGCAGGGGATATACATCTTCGAGAAGGAAGGCCGGCTTGTGGTGGAGAGGGGGAAGAAGCTGGCTGAGCAGGGCATAGCTGTGGCGGCGGCCGAGGTGGTTATCATCGTCCGGCCGCCCAAGGACGAGGACGACATGATTAGCGACGTGGAGTGGGACTGATCACTGATCTGGAGAGGAGGTTTATCAAGGGTTTTGCTTGGTTTTGGAGATGCCAATTTCTCTTTTTCCGTTGGGTGGTAAAGCTTTCCTCTTCTCTTCTTTACAGTCTCGAGTCGATGGATCAATGAATAAGAGGAACGAATTACCTCCTTCTGTTGTTTCGGGAAATGCCATAGGAACTGTACTCTGTAGTCCCTTGGCCTTAGCCTTGCATTGCTGGCTATTCTTTCCCACACTTATATTTGCAAAATAATATATATATATATATATATATATATATATATATATATATATATATATATATATATATATATATATATATATATGATCAAATACATCGTTCATATGACATTACTGATAATGGCAACACCTGTCTAATCTAGCTGTTTTTCCAAGAACTGAACTCAATAGCCAAAAGAAATCGTGTACTAGCACCGGTTAGGACACTATACAATCTATCTTGAAGCTGACTTTGAGTCAGGGAAAGCGGGACAACATGGATACCTGGCTGGTTCAGAAATCATCAAATCAAAGCAGCAATCCAAAAGGCTATCAGGGGCAAGTCTTTTCTTTTGGCGAAAAATTATCCCTATGACCACCGACTAGGCAAAAGATGCAGCAAGAACATTAAGAACCATTTCTGTCTGATCTCGAGGCCCTTTCCCCTAATGAACTGTCGCTTTAAAAATAAGAGTCTTATGAGTGCCAATTCTACATTGACAGTTGATTATGAGTGGTTTAATGCCATTTTGGGATGTCCCTTGCTCAAAAGTTTTAATCTTAAATTATGCACAAACTTATAAATGAGGAGTCACCTGCCCAAACCTGACCAAGAGCTGTGCAAATTCAGCACCCTCAAATGTCACAGTATTGAATTTGTGGACAATGGGTGTAATACAAGTGAGGTTAATAAACAACTGCAATGATAAAATGGATTCATCAGGACAATAACCATTATATGTATCAGGGCAATAATAATCATTATATTTAGTTCTATTTTCTAAGGGAGCCTGCTTGCTTTTTTGCCTTTTGTTTTCGTATATAAATATTTGCAATTGCAGGGGCTTCCCCTAATGTTTTCGCTTTAAAAAAATCACTATATGTATCTCCTTGGTCAAGATCACTAATGAAATTTAATTTACATATATACATCGTAATAGAGAAGTACCCATGGAGGATGGAACTATTGTTAAGTAATGGCAATTAGCCTTAAGCCATATGCTTAGATAAAGCTTTCACAGCAGCTATCTCTAGTGCACTGTGCACGTGACTAAACCACTGGATAGTCCCAGGATCCCACTTTACATTTCAATAACTGGTAAATTATGCAGAAGGAGCATTATTGTTCTACCATCCAAAGGAACAGCATTCAGAGCCCAAACGAAAAATGACAACGGAGAAGAGGACAATACCAAAAGATTGGTGGCAAGCTGCGGTAAAGACAATACCAAATGATAAAAGAGGACACTTCAATGGATTATGCATCTACGTCGTGTGGAATTTGTGGAACGAAAGGAATCGACTGATTTTCCAAAATGATAGCTCCACGTCTGTATCGGTTGCACTACGTACAAAAGAGGACTTTGATCAACGACAACGTGCTTTTCAAAACTAGTTTAGTTTTGGGGGCTTTCATCTTGTTTTTTCGTTTCTTTGCGGGATGGCCCTCTCAAGAGCTTGTGGTTGTCCTGTAGCCTGTTGAGGCGTGTCTGCCATTGAGGCAAAACTTTCTATTTTCCTAACTTCAATGCAAGGCCTCCCGCCACTTTCTTAAAAAAAAAACAAGGGAGGAAAAAAAAAACAAGGGAGATGAGATATAACATATAGATAGAACTTAGACACAGAGGATTATGGCGGCATCATGGTGATGAAAGGTAAGTCAAAATAAGGCAATAAACAAATTAGTTTTCAATTCTACATGATTGTATAAACCCAAATAATTTTTTACTATGACATTCTGTAGTCCCTAAGGCTTAGCCAGTTAGCCTTACATGTTTTTTTTTTAATTTCCTATTATGACATTCAAACAAAGTAAAGTAGAAAAAATGTAAAAACGTAAAGTAAAAAAAAAACATGTGTTATGGTAAGTCGAGCATGTACCAAGAGAAAGTATGTGTTATATCAAAGAACCTGACAAACCCAACTTTCCAACAACTATTGGAGCAGTTTGTAGTCATCCAGGATTCCAGAGACGGTGATAAAATCTTCCAAGATGACTATGGAGATAAACTGTGGATCAAGACCTGCAATGAGAATAAACTAAATATGTGATCGATCATATGTCCGTCCCATGGTACAATGCTCAAAATTGGATTCATTTTTTTTATGGTCTTTCTACTACACAACCATATGTTTTATACAGTTTTAATACATGATTTTTTTTTCACCATGGGATTAAGATCCAACAGCATCCACCATTCTTCTACCTGTAGCCTCCACAGATCACAGATCACAATATTTTTTTTATGGAAGGACAAATCACAGATCCACCGCCGCCACCGCCACCGCCACTGCCATGGCGGGCGCGGGCACCGGGACAAGCTTGCCAGTCGCCATCGCTGGCGCCGGTGGTCACTGGTGAGAAAGAGAGAGATATAAAAAAAAATCCATGTGTTTTTTTTTGCTAAAACATATGTGTGTTGTATAGTATTTCTGTTTTTTTAACACTTTGGCTGAAACTAGTAAAAATGAGAAGAGGCATGTGAACATGTTAAAAACACGATACATTTTCTTGTTAGGAAAACCGGCGGTGGTTACGTTACACATTTTATAGTGCCTTTTGTAATGTGGTCATTTTCTGATAGGCCTAAACACTGCAACATTGTAGATCTTGTTTCTCTAATAAAGTTGTGACTGCCTGATCAGACTGTATACATAATAGTCTCAATCATTCTTCCCCCCTTTACAATGTGGATGTACTAATTTGAAAAACTAAAATTCAAGCATATAAATTTCCATTAACTTCATCCATGGGTTAGCATCATCAACAAGCCTCTCTGAGTGTAAATATCGTATCATCTTTGTCACATACATGTTGAAGACTGGCTGATGTGGATAGACAAGCCCGGAGCTCATTCATTATGTTCTCGAAATTGGAGCTGCAGTTGCTCCTAATCCATTTTAGGTGCTTAATTAATGGCCATCTCTACTCTTTTTTTTTCGAAAGATCGGATTGCCCGGCTTATCATCGACTAAGGGGCCGTTTGGCTGGGCTCTGCTCCGCGTGCTCCTCTACCAGAGCCGGAGCCGGAGTGTCAAAGCCCGATTTCGTGGCTTCACATGCCGTACCATAAAATGGCTCCTCTTCACCTGTTTTTGGCCAGAAGGGCTCCTCCTCTCAGCAACGTTTGGTGTGGCTCCGCTGCCGGAGCCAGAGCCGGAGCTGTGCGGGAGCCACACCAAACAGGTCCTAAGAAGAGAGAGTTTTCGGGGACCAGGTGACCCCCACTCACAGCAGACCGCTGCAGTGGTTGAGAGCTCGAAGCTAATTACTAAAAAAAAAACACGATCTAAAAGGGGCCTGAGAAACCTCCCATCAGCCATGGACCAAAGAGAGCAAATATCTTACGTCCTGTTCGCTTGGTTTATAAACCGTATTTTTTCAGCCAACGAATAGTATTTTTCTCTCACAACAAATCAGTCAACAGTACTTTCAGCCATGACTTATCAGCGAAACGAACGTGACACAAACTTACATGGATGCTGCATTTGCGTGCGTCTTGATTTTCTGAATACAACTGCATTACGTTGTTTCCAGATGCACCACAAGGTGAGAATGGCCAGGGAGTGCGCAGCCTTGGTGCCTTCTCTGATCACAGCCATGAACCAACCTTCGCAATCTGACCCATCTGTCCATCGTGGCGGCCACAAATTTTGGCAGCCACTCCACGCTGCAACCAGACTGATTGGTGTGTCAATTCAAGTTGGCAACTTTAGATGGAACATTACACGTAACACTCAGTGCTGCTTTTGCGATACCCATTGTCCAAAAGCACCCTAAAAATTAATCTCCCACATTTCTTCGCCCTAGCTAGCTGCTTTAATTTTGCAGAGACTCTCACAAAGGTGCGCAAGCATCTCATCTAGGCGCAGTACACACTACACAGGCATCCTTTCTAGGCGCAGTGCAATCCCGGGCGGGGCTTCCGCTTTTGCTTCAAGAATCACAAGACAAGATCCACCTTCCTTGGCGGACAATCAGTAAGCCCGTGGGTCGTGCTTCTGGTGCGCACCACCACTACCAGCCCGTATTGGCGTGTCCGTGCGGACCTTGCGTGTGAGCCTGTGAGGCCTCAGTTTATTGGGCTGCATCAGCCTACCCCGCTGGCTCGAAAGTCGAAACTTTGGTGGACTCGGAAAATGTGCTACACTAGCTACTGAATCGGCACGTTTGTCGTATTCGGCTTATAAACCATAATTTATCAGTTAATAAATAGTATTTTTCTTTTACATCAAACTAGACAACGGTACTTTCAGCTATGGCTTATAAGTCAAACCAGCCCAAACGAACAGAGCGTAGATTGAGGCAATTTATTCACACCCATACGTAATACACCTTCCAAAAATTATAACATTTTTCATATAGGCCCTATTCGGCTTACCCCATATTCGGTTTGTTCGCCTTCTTTTTTCAGCCGGAATAGTATTTTTCTCTCACAACAATTCAACCGGAACAATGTTTTTTTCAGCCAATTTCAGTCAAGTTTCAGACCAGCAAACGGGGCCATAGTCATATATGTAGATAAAAAAAAAGTTGTACTAAACGATGAAAATCTACAACATTATAGTTCACATATTTTCGTTTGAATAATCGTTTTAATGTTTAGATCTAAAAATGTAGATATGAATATTATATCAATTTCATAGATACAAAAGTTATAGATCGCTTGTTTCTCTACAACTTCCATATAATTTTATCTTCGTTTAAGTTCATACTTAATAAAAGTATTGTTTTTCTATGATGAGCCGAGAGAAAAGAAGATTCTGCCAATTGAACCGGG